CGGGGCCTCTCCCTGCGGATGCGGGTTTCTTCTCGGCTGAAGCGGCAGCTGCCCTGCCTCCGCCTCTCCCTCTGCCTCTGCCACCAGCTTTTTTGGAACCCGAGCTACCAGCCCCTTTCAACTCAACTTCCACCTTAATCCCTGCCAGAGATCCATCGTATTTGGTATATATGTATAGATATATAGATATATATATATATATATATATACACATATACACGTTAAAAGATTGCCAAAAGCCTCCACCTTCATGCAACTCTTTACCACAAAACTCCCTAACAAACCAGATTTCTCCGGATACGTTGTTGGTTCAGTTAGGTTCTAAACTTGTGTCCCCAATTTGATGGTTCAGTTAGGTTCTAGGCATCCATACTTAAGACATAGGAGAGAGAGAGAGAGAGAGAGAGAGAGAGAGAGAGAGAGAGATCACCGATCGAACCTTTAGCATTCAGATTCTGGAGATCTGACTGCAACTTTTCTCCACTGATTGCTTCTTCTGGAATCATTAAACACCCAGATCAAGTCATGACAATTTCAAGAATCTTCCTGTCTTTAATTTCTTTTCTGTCTACTTTTGGTTTAAGTAGTTTGAAAACACAATGGTTTCAAAACACTGTTTGCACAATAGTTTCTTTAGCATCTTTGTAGGGCGTTACTTCATCTCCACAGGTCTTAGTTGCACGACCAAATAACACTAACGGAGCTTTCAGAGAGGGGAAAACAAACCTGAGTCATCTGCATCCGAAGCATTATCTTCTTCATTTTCTGCCAATGGCCCACCATCCTCACCTCCTAACCCCTCAACAGGTGGTTCGAGCATAGCAGCCACCCGTTTCTTCGGTGCCTTCTTTACTCCTGGAAGCTGCACCAAATCAGCAGCCCGTACCATTCTCGTTTTGCTTTCCTCGTTATATTTTTTAGTCAGAGCTGCTTTAACTGCAGGTGGAACGCCTTCCAATGGATTTGCATGTTTCTGATTTCATAAGTTCCAGATTCGTTGGTTAGAACCCGTGTTGAAGCTGCAGTAAATGATGAGGAAACAATGAATGTATACCTGAAATTTTGCCAACTCCATAATGGTATCAAAGTCCTCCTGGCTTATGGAGTAAGCATTCATGAACTCAACAACTTCTGTAACTGCTTCGTCCTGCGTAACATAAAATTATATCTCCTTGAAATCGCCCTCCGAAGTTCAACAAGCATGAACAATAAAGGAACAATAAAAAACATATTAGTAAGACAAACCTTAGGGAGTGTCTTAAGCGGACTCGTCAACCGCTTTAGGAGAAGAGGAAGATATTCAACACGAAGTGTTTCCCTGCATCAGTATCAAAGAGTTGGGATATTAACAGGGTGCAATTGTTTAACATGAAGAGGAAGATATTCAACACGAAGTGTTTCCCTGCATCAGTATCGAAGTGTTTCCCTGTGTTTAGATTTCGAAATTGATAATTGAAATGAAAAAAACAATGCTTAGGAAGCATGAGATGACACAACCAATAGACTTATTAAATAATGCGGCTTAAAGAAAAAAGTGGAAACAACCTGCCAGAGCTAGATTCACGGGAAGCAAGGACATGGACATGCAGGTCCTCCAGAAGTCTCGTATTTTTTCCCATTGTAGAATTCTTACCAAGCCACCCGCCAAATCTATTGAAATTTCGCTCTCCCTGTATGCAATAAAGTGTTCACAGTTATGCATGCTTATCTGAATTTTGTTATTCTGAGACAGCTTAGAGGGAAACAAAACCAGAGAAATAGAAGCTATATTTGAAGTATAATGACAACTCGTATCATAACCATATGCAACACGGTAACCAGATTCACATATCCCAAACAAGAAAGGACTGACTTTAACAAACTTCATTCTATCGAATTTCAGATAAAACCGCAAACTCAAAATTCAAATGAATCAAAGGGGGCCATAGGTGCAAATGGCAATGCATCCATATCTAAGCCCAAGAATATACTTCCCATATACCAATATATTGAACAACTAGCCTCCCAGAATGATCATTACCTGCTCAAGTATCTCCCTTTGTCCATGCAACAATGACGCACTGATTCAAATAAGACAAATGATCATCAGTCCCAAACTATATTTTGCACAGAGCAAAGAAAAAAAGACTTAGTTTCTCCGCCTAAAACTATAAGTACATAAAGTAAGAACATATTTAAAACACAAGAAAAGACACAAGCAATAACCAACTTCAAGGAGAGAGAGAGAGTACTTCTGGTGAAGTACGACTAATATTTTTGCCCACAAGGAAGCAACTTACGGGATAATAGAGGAAGCAACACAACTAGATTGTGAGAGTTGCCACTGACGATATCTCCGGATCTGCACATTGATGATATCTCCATCTGCTATAGATTCAGCAGCACGAGCAAGTGAATCCATGCGTTTAGTCCCATTTTCATCTTTTCCAACAGAACTTGGCTTGTAATTGATATAATTTTCCTGCAACATAATTTCACAGACTAAATGTTTTTTGCCCACAAGGCAATATGAAGTATAACTTTCCGGGTTCCAGATATCCCATATCACAATCTACAAGTTCTATCGGAATCACTATATCAAAAGTAGCAGAATTTCATATTATATCCGTGAAGGATTTAATAATATTCTGTTCATTAACTATTCAAGGAATACGAACCTGTATCAGGAGGGGAACCAAATCAGGATCACTCATGCTGAGATCAATCCGCTCATCCATTCTCAGCTTCCCGCCATTGTAACCAAACAACCTATATGTAAACCATGTAAAAGTCAACTGACAGTGAAGATTCCAGGGGATTTAAAGCAAGATCTTGCTATTACAAAGCAATGGAACCAACGGTTGTGGAGTAACAGCAGCTTTTTTTTAGTATATTTCTGATGATTTAACAACACCAGAAACTGTGCAACCACTGAATTAGTAAAGTAATATCCCTCTGCATTGAGATGGTGAAAGAAAGAGCTAGGACATTACTTGTCCACAGCTGTGAAAGGTGAAATGTCTTCGTCCTTTGAGCTGCTTAGAAGGCGCTGTCTGATATCATCATACTGGATAACTGACATGGACAGGCTCATATATTGAAGCTGATTTAGGGCCATACGTATGTCTCCGTTCACTCTTTCAGCAAGTTCCTCCAGAGCAATCTAATGTTGAGGAAATATATAAGAATCTACTTAGTACAAACAGCTATCGAATCTCCTTTAAATTGAGTCATGTTCTGTACGAAGACAAATATCGCAAATAATCCAGAGAAGAGACATGCAACAACAACAACAACATCGCCTCATTCCCAAGTTCAGAGAAGAGACATGCATCTATATTAAATAGGTACTACCATTGACTCACATACTAATGAAGACTTGAAGTTTATTTAGAAAAGAAAAGGTAGAACATTCACCTCATTAATTCGCAGTCCCTCCGCGTTTGCAATTTGCATCAGTCTTTTCGCCATCTGTAATTCAAGGTTTTACAAGAGATCAGACATTTCGAATGATAAAGCAAAAGATCCAGAGATCTTTTCCAATTTCCGGATCACAAGATAAACAGAGCATATAAGGGCCGAGAACTTGATACAACTGCAGATACTTCATTATTTTAACAAAAGAGGAGAAATATCATCAAATAGAATAATAAGAGACTACTAAAGAAGTTTGTAAATTGAAATGTACTTTTTCAAAGATACTCCTCTCCTTCATATATAAGAGGAACACATATTGCCAGGTCCTGGGAGATCTAATGAACCTCACAATAATTGAATAAGGAAAATTTCTTCAAAAACATACCCTTGGAGCTAAGGGATACTACACAGTTCTTTAACAGTGAAATTCCGGGCAAATATTTTCCTTAGGTACGTGAAATTTTTTTGACTTTCATGGTTCATGTAACAGAAAATATTAAAAGGCCATTAAAAATGCATAGCCTCAAATAATCAGATCAACATTTCATGAGAAACTCATCATGATCTCAGCTAATTAAAACGCAAAAAAAGGTAATCATCTAAGACTGACTTGCTGTTTAGTAGGCTTCCGGAAATTGAGGGGCAGACAGTAGTTCACTAGACTCTTTAGCTTCTGACTGTATCGATCATTACAGATGCAGATGATAGGAATCTTGGAAATTTTAATGCTGGCAATAAGGTCAGCAACTCCTCCCCTGTCTCCTGCAGACATCCCATCTACTTCATCCATAATTAACACAGTTTTTGGAGGTTTTGACCTGAAAATCAAGCCCTCTTTCAGTGCAGACAAAGAATACAAGTACCCAAGGCTGGTTTTACCCAATATTGGTAGACATGAAAGGCAGGACATAAACATACATATCCAAGTTAGCACCCAAAGCTTCGTTGCTGACAAGTTCTTTTATTGAATTTGCATTGCTACCACCAATTCCTTTAGCAATCTTTGAGTCAGCCTTTCCACGACTATCACTAGCATTGACCTAATAAAAATAAATATTTGAAGGCAAGAAAACAGTGCAGAGGTAAAGAATGGATCTTCTAAACCACAACCAATGTTCAGTACACAATGCAAGTCAAATACATAAGATCTGACCTCAACCGCCTGGAAACCAAGCATTTGACTGACCAACTTTGCTGATGTTGTTTTCCCGATACCAGGTGTTCCACTCAAAAGTACAGCCTTCTTGGCTCCAGCATCATTTGGCTTCTTCCCCTTACCTTTATTTCCACTACCCAGAAATTGTTCATGCCAATGAACCAGCCAGTTGTGAAGTTGGGTAATCTGCAATCAATCACATTTCATATCCATAATTGTCACACAGATGAAAAGAACAGAGGTTCACAGAAGTTTCCCCCACATACCAATGACTGATTCCCAACAATCTCATTTGGAACCTTCGGTCTGTATTTTTCCGTCCATGGCAAGGAAGATTGAAGATTTTGCTTTTTGTGCTTCATGGGGGAAGAATGTGACGAACCCTTGTCTGATGAAATTTTCACAAGCGATTTGCCTGCAAATGATCATGATCACCATCGTTTGTGAGAATAGTAATACTTGATTGAGACAAATGCACAAGAGAACAAAAGACTCTAGGCTCTAGCATATAGTGACGCTCGAAGAGGAGTAATGTCCTGAAAAAAGGTTGTTACAGTTAGACAAAAGAATTCGAAGTTCAAGTTGCGCAGTTCATACTCTTTGTCTCTTCTTTCTCAGGAATTCTCTTTGGTGGAGCAGCAACTTTCTCCACAGATTTTTTTGAACTCTGAGAGGGAGATGCCTTTGTGGGCTTAGATGAACGGATCATGTCAAAAAGACCATCCTCGGTAAGAAATTTTGTGCTGCACAAAATCATAAATAAGCATGCTAAAACAGCAAGAAGTAATGAAAAAAAAATATAATGCACAATTGTTTGGAAGCAATGAGTACAGACCCAAGCTCTTTGGCTTTCGAGGACTTCCTACCGCCAATATCTTCATCGCACAAAAGGTAATTCTGCAAACATGCACTGTAATTTTATGCAATCACCTTCCATCTGATACAAAAAGACGACAGAGGTTCAGAGAAAGACCGTTTTCTTGCTCACAGATCCTGTAATGCGGCCCCCATATCGCTTTACCAGATCTTCTGCTTCTTCTCTTTCCAAGCTGCAACACCAAAAGGGAGAATTAGGACAGAAGACAAAAAAAAGGGCAAATAAGCAGAAAGAATGACAAGATGAAGTACCTATCAAGTGTTCCACTAATTACAAATGTTAATCCAGCTAAGCAATCAGGGGCACCCTCTGGAACTTCCTGAAACATATAGATAGGTCAGTACAGCAATAGAAAACTTCAGAAAACAGTAAAAGTCAAGATTAGACCTTTTCGCCTTTATGTGGTGGCTCTTTCCTTTCTCCAAAATTCATGAACCCACCCCGTCCTCCACCTCTGCCTCTTCCACCAGCTGAGGCCCTTGATGCAGCTCTACCGCCACGACCTCTTCCACTAGATTTCAGAGGCGACTCCTTTTCTTCGGCATCCTCACCTTCATCATCCTCATCAATATCGACCATTTTCTTTGCAACTCCCCTACCTGATCCAGTCTTCAGTTTTTTGCTTGGGGTGCCATCAGGAGCCTTCTTTGGACCAGGTTTCTCGAAATCTTCATCATCGTCCTCAATCTTGGTAATCTTTCTTGGACGTTGGGACTTGGCTAAATCAGCAGAATCGCTTTGATGTTTCTTCTTGGTAGGAATTTCCTCCTCTTTCTCATCTTTTGGTTTCGCTTTTTCTTTAGCAAAATACGTACTTGTTTTCCTTCTACCAGAGCTTTCCTGGTCTCCACAAGCCTATCAATTTTCTCAAGTTACTTAATAGATATAGCAATGAGCTATGCATTCTGCTAAACACATTGAACAAATTTTCTCCAATTCAGCTACTTCTACTCTGCGTTCGTTTTGTTAGTTAACACTCGCATTCAATCAGTTTGACTCAAAGTGAAATGCAAAGCCAGTAATTTTAAACGTAAAGCCAATCCCGATACTGCATATTAATATGCAGACAACAAATGCAAATAGCAAAAAAAAAAATCTCACATTCTCTGATTTGCTAGGTACAGGTTCTGGAGGAGCTTTAGGCATAGAGCCCGTCTTGGTCGTGGAGGTAGATTTAGGTGCAGTTCCATTCCCCTTCTCATGGGCTTTCATGAACCACTTCCTAATATCTGACTGGAATTCAGATACAATGGACATCATCTAATATCAGTTCATACCATTGAAACAACATTTTCATGGGGCCAAAATGTTTTTTTTTTTTCCGAAATCAGGAGAACAGACTATTTCGTCAAATATTCAATTAATTTTCGCACAAACGAAACAACAAATCAGCGAAATTGTGAAAAAAAATGGGTATTGAGAAAAATCATCGTATGGCGAATAACATTCTGATGAAACAGACCACCGAGAGAAATTCGATGAATCCGGAACTCAAACCCCTTGCTTTCTCGAGAACCAAACAGAAAAAAAGGAAGGAAAACAGTATCAACTCACCATCTCTCGTCTTCAACAGGACAGACCCGAACAACCCGATCGATACTTCGGCTTCCAGAAACACAGTGCTGCAGAAAATCGCAAATTTCCAAGGAAAAAACGGAGCGTATAAGAAATTACTCGTGCTCGCGCAGCATCGAAACATGCAAAAACCCTAGTAACAGTTACAATCGACAAAACCTAGCAACACATTTTCTGGGAGACAACGATGAAAAGAAATCAGAAGAACAGAGGAAAAAGGTACAAAACCAAACCCTTATTTCTTCTCCGGCGAAAATTTTCGAGTTCTAGACACGAAGCAGTCTCTGCGTAGACGAATGACCGCTTTCTCGTGAGAAGTTTTTTGGGCGAAGAGTTAGTTTAACCCCAATATTCTTGAAAACATATGATAAAGGCTGTAAACTTTAGAAAGTTACAATTAAGCCCAATCCGCTGAGGCATTCCCAGAAAATCTAAAGAATAAGAATTCAAATAACGTGATCATGAAATTGAACCCAGAAATCGGAAGAGAGAAAGAATGTTTCACAAAATCAGAGATGGGGAGAAGAATTTTGGGAAACTATTTTATTATGACAACTTCTAGAGGAATATTTGGAACCTGAATCGTGGCAATCAATATTGAATGATTAGAAATAGTATAATTAGTATTGATATTGTGGTTATGTATGATTAGAACATCAATTTCATTCCAAATGTACATTTCAAAAGCCATCAAATAGGAAATAGGAAAAAGCTTATTCCTTTGACCTTCATTTATCAGTTACTGTAGTGTTATTAAAACCCACACTCTGTTTTTCGTGTTGTTGTTTGATTCAAGGAAGATGATAGAGAGCAATGAAATTCATCAACACACTCCCTATCCAAAGTTTGCCATCCTTCTCTTCCACTTCACTGACCGACCTCACAACTCTCCCTTCACTGTCCTCCAGTATCTGCAAAAGCTTGCCTTCAGGGCTATACTTCACCACCGCAGCATGAGGTCTCAGCCCGATGTGAAATCCAAACTGGGTTCTTGCCGAAATCGGGAGCTTCAGCAGAAATTTCCTGAATTTAGGATACTTTGCCATTACCTCAGCGAAATAGTTGCGTCGGCAGTGAAGCGCCACCCAGAATTCACCGTCTTTGTTTGTTCTTACGTTGTCAGGGAACCCGGGTAATATCGCAAACACTTCTGAAGCCCCGGCTTTCTCGCCTTTTAACCAGTATCTTCGTAATCTGCATTGAGAGAAATAACCGAGTAATTCTCTGCAGATAGCCAAGACATAATAGTAGTAGTACTACTACTACTCATGGTATCAGCCTTTGGATTCTGTGAACAAAAACGAGTTACTAATAGAGAGCCAAACCGAAAGGAAGCATTCGGTAGGAACACAGTTGGATGTTTCAGTTCTCAATCTCATAATGCCATATACCCATATCATGATTCTTTCTATATGAAACTCACTATAACATCTAATGCAAGTAAAAGCTCGAATCAAGATCCATTCACAATTGGTAAAGGTTTTCACCAATCGACAAGGGTGTAAAAAAAACATCAGTAAGGACAGCAAGAACAGAAACAAGATTCTAAACGATGATGATGCAGTAGTATCCTGACAACTATAGTCAGGAACCTAATTCAGAGTCTATTTACTACTAAGAATTTCCAACGAGACAGCACTACTCACCTTCCAATGGCTCCCTCGCAGAATATGAGAAAGGAACCGTCTTTGCTAAGAGACGCTCCATTGGGAAACTGAACATTTCTCACTAAAACATCAACTTTATTGGTTTTAGGATCATACTTTAGGACCCTCCCGCTATCATCTCCAGAGAAAACAAGTTGCATGAAGTTCCTGAAAATCGTTGGAGATATATCAGAACCACCAGAGTTGATATAGATGTATGGGTAGATATATGAAAGGAAATACCAAATTTTCACATTGCTTGATGTATGTTACTCTACTAAACATTCTCCTGAAGAAAACATCATACGTAACAGGAATGAACCAAATCCTAGGATTCAAGAGTCACACTACACTCCTCCGTTTCAAGCAATGAAGCGGCTCGAACTGAAATGAATCATTGACCAGACTCACCCAAAACTTCGCAGATAAAGTTACCATTTTATAGTTTGCAGCGAGAACCCTAAACCCAGGAATCAAGAGAGGCATACCTCCTCTGGTACTTGGTGCTGCTATCTGTGAAGTAAACATTTCCATCATCATCAATGTCGAGATCGTTCGTAAACCTCAATGGCACGCCCTCGGCCTCCGTCACAAGCGGCATTGCCAAGCCACCTTCAGGACCAACTCTCAGCAAACCCAGATAAGCATCGGCGATGTACAAATCACCAGTTCTCTTATCGAAACGGAGGCCCAAAGGACGACCACATATATGCTCATTCTTAACGTAACTCAAAGTCGACGGCTTCGGATCACAAATCTCCGACCTACATTGCCCAGAAGCAAATTTGATTAAATTCAAAGTTCAAACTCGGTCAAATGACAACTCCCTACGCCGAAAAGACTGAGTCGAGTTCGAATCCACTCACCGATTGCTCGAGGTATAAGCGAAACCAACCCACTTCTCTCCATTCCAGAGCAAAACCCTCCCGTCAGCGACGCCGGTGTACGGACCGCGACCGAGCCGGTCAAACACGATGCTCTCTGGGCCCTGAACCTGGTTCAGAAACATAATATCCGATCTCTGGAGCGAATTCTGGGCATCTCTCTCAGCCGGGATATCGGAGGAAGGAGGAGTCTCGATCCCGTGAGCGACGAAGTCCGGGAAGTCGGAGATTGCGCTGTGCTTGAAGGGATCGATGCCGCAGTAGAGGGCAAGGGAGAGAAAGAGCAGAGCAAGAGCATACCGAGAGAAGAAGAAAAACGCCATGATCGAATGAGGAATTAGGGTTTATGGGGAGGTTTATGAAGGAGAACGAGGGAGGAGGGGTTTTAACCCTAATAACCCACTTGTTGGTTCGCAGCAATTTCAGGTGTACACCACCGAAAAAAAAAAAAAATTTGCGACCTTATTACGACTAATATATAACTAATATACAACTTATTACGACTAATAAACTACTCTTATTTTAGTTGTATATTAGTTATATATTAGTCGTAATAAGGTCGCAAATTTTTTTTTTTTTTCGGTGGTGTACACCTGAAATTGCTGCGAACCAACAAGGAATTGCTGCGACCCAAGTGGGTTATTTGAGTAATATTCCCGAGGGAGGAAGGGTAGGTAGATCCATTGGTGGTTGAGCAGCACAAAGAAGGCGCCTTTCATCTGCTCCGTCACATAGTACGGGAAATAACGGGGCAAAAAAAGGATAATTCCATATTAAACCCCATTTTATTATAAAAATCAAAATAAACCTCAAACGTTTTAAAACGTATCAAATTATAACCTAACCTTTTCGTCTGAACCATTTCAAACCCAAAATTAATTCTATACCAACATGGGCAACAAACGGCAAGCAAAATACAAAAATAATATAAAAAAATCATATTTAAAATAAAAAATTAAAATAAATAAAATACAAAACAGATAATACAATATTATACAAATATTTATAAATATGTCAAAAAAATTGTGAAATCAACAAACTTATTATTATTATCAATTTATGAAAAGTGAAAGCATTCCTGATTTCAATTAATTGGAATAATCAGTGGAGAAAGGAGAAGAAAAGAGGAGTCAATGTGAGTGTGTGAGTTAACGAGAAAGGGTTGAAAATGACTAATGTAAAACAATGGAATGAAATTCATAATATTTAAAAAGTAAAAATAGTACCACATCATTATTAAACAAACACTTAAATCCACAACAAAATAAAAACACACAATACATACCTTTTTAATCTTTCACATGCATACATACTCAAATCACACAAGGGTGAGAAGAACCCCTTTTATTTCATACATACATACATATATATATATATATATATATATATAACAACAAAGATAATTACTATATATATATGTATATGTATATAGGTAGTGTGTGTACTTCATCGAGTCATGCCGCCCTGCACGGCTGGAGCTCCCATGGCGATGCCCTGATTCTGTCGCTCTACGTTTCCTTGCCATCCTAAAACATTACACACAAAAAATGTATTAAAAAAAATCCAAAGAAAAAAACACTGAATTTTTCAATTTTGACAAAAAAATACTAAATTTTATTTTTGTATCAAATAAATATTAAATTTTTAAACGAATTTAAAAAATACTAAATTTTTTAAGTGCTCCAAAAAATACATGAATTTTTCTGTGATTATAAAAATATTAAACTTTTTTGTGATACAAAAAAATATATGAACTTTTTTCGATTATCACAAAAAAAATAAATAAAATAATCTGACGTATTTGTATATCTTTATGTCACGTCAGCCATTTTGTTTATTTTGACAATCGTAGAAAAGTTAATTATTTGTTTTGTCAAATTTAAAAAATTTAATGTTTATTTGACAAAAATTAAAATTTAGTGTATTTTGTCAAAATTGAAAAGTTCAATATATTTTTTTTACCTAAAAAAAATAAAGAAATAAATTCACGACAATTAATTTTTTGTTGAAATAACCGATTTACAAATTGTTGTAATGGTTCACAGTCAAATATAATATTTGTTGTGTGAGAAATGTTTTCAACAGAGTGTTTAGTTAATTAATTCTATATATATATATATATATATATGTATATAGGATTTATGAATATTCATTAAAATTAAAAATATTCCAAACATTGAAAATGGACGTACCGAGGGGAAGGTCGAAGCCACGGGACTTGAGCTCGCGATACTCTTGGGTGAGGGCGCAGAGCTCGCAGAAGAAATGGGACAGGCAATCTCCGCACTGACTCCCGCTGATGTTGTATTGCTTCCTCATCTTTGTCCGATAGAAGCATGAATATATGCATCCGCATCCAGTGATGCATGCTACCAATGCGTATAGTGCTCCACTCGCCCCACATGCTGCGTTAATATTATATATATACATATAATTTACGTCTATATATATATATAAGCCATGCATGCATGGAATTGCAACGTGGACTTACAGGTAGATCCACGGTCTACAATCTCGGCAACTTCGCCGAAGGTAATGCAGGGACACCAGCATGTTATGCAACCTGAAAATGAAAAATCCAGATTCCTTGTATATATATATATATATTATATTCTTGAATCGACAATTTGTAAGTTATGATTTGAAAATGAAATTACAGTTTGAGCAATCGGAGAAGCAATCGCAGAAGCCAGTGGACCACTCGGCTTCAGCCTGAGGCTTCCCATCGTTGTATTGAGGCTGCATGATGACTCTTTTTGCCCTCTATACGATTGTTTTTTTTTTTTTTTGTGTGTGAAAAAAATGGAAAGATGACAAAAATGAAGAGATGATGATAATATTTATAAGCAGAAAGCTCCACACACAAAAAAAAAAAAAAGATTTGCTATTTCAAATGTATAGAAATTATTTCCAAATGGAAATGATTTAGTTTTATAATATCTCTGTTTATATATATATATATATATATAATATTGTTTTGAGTATGATTTTGGACTTTGATTCCTTCTTTTTTTTAAAAAAAAAATTGGAAATATGTTGAAGGGTGCAAGCAATTTGAATAGTAATGCTTTTGACTTCCTTAAACAACGAACATTCTTATTAATAATAGAGGTTCACGTTTGAATCCAAAAAGCTTTGTTATTATTAAATATTGTGACTTTACCAATGTTTAATGATACATGTTTTTTTTTTACTCATGACGATAAGCACTGACCGATCCATCATCATACATAAGAGATTGGGACACATTGGACGAGTTCTCCGCCTTACAAACTTCTTCTATTACAAGTATTGTAAAATAATGAGAGTAGTTGACTAAGAAATATAAATAACAATTGAATTAGTTTATATTATTAAATCAGTTTTGAATGATTGTTATAATAATAATAATAATAATAAACATCATTGTTATCATATCATTATCATTATTATTAATTTTCAGAACGTTCAATGTCAAGTTTTCCAAACGTTCAAAGTTTTTTAATTTAAAATTTTGACATTTTCTTCACAAATTAGAGTAACCTTTTTTTTTGGCTAAAAAATGATTTAGAGAATAATAGAGTATAAACTGAACCAATTTCTAAACCATTAATAAAAAAATATATATATAAACGGAGGACCAAATCACAATATCTATACATTTAAGCAACAGATAAATGAAAATCAAAATCATTTCCCAAAATCAGCAACACAGATGATACAAAACTCAACAACAAAGGAACTTCCATTCCCATTAGGGTTTTGTTCTAAACCCCAAAACCCCACCTCCAATGACACATCAACCCTAAAGCTATTGAACTTGAACAGATAAAAAAAAAAAAGAATATATGAATCACATAACAAAAATAAGAAAGAAGAAGAATTAGAATTACCCATTCTCTCTCTCACTCTGTTATAACATCCATTCACTGTGTTAACTTGGCGATGAAGGATAGAGCCAATGATATGTTATTGTGAACAGATGTACAAATCTTCATATACCTATTCCTTTTTTTTTTCAACCTGATTTCCGGTAATGTAAGCTTCTTGAATACTGTCAGTGAATAATATGGTGATGCTACTGTTCTTCTACGAGTCGTCTGTAGAAAAGAACGTAAGCAGCCGATGTCTTGATCTTCTCCATGCTGATTGGATGGACATGGCTATCATCAAAGTCATACCATCGGTCACCCCCATGCTGCAAAAATAGAGAAGAGAAAACATAAGTAGCCAGATGAATCCATACCGATTTGTGAGTTTATACGAAGAAAATGTGAAGCATGAACATGATGATTCGGTTTCACGGCTACGATGAGATCAATCATTATAATCCTCCACAGATCCCCACATGAATCTGGTCATTGCAGGTCCTGAAAATTATATGCCAAAATAATTGGCCGTCGAGGATCTTCTTCGTTAAAGACCCGGCTAAATTGATTTACAATATCGCATGACACGACATCCGACTTCTCTGATATTTCATTGGTTTTACAACTTAAAGAGATATATCAAGTGTTCCATTACCAATGATGGCTAAAGGTCTGAACCACAGATGCCTAACCAAATATACATTTTTTCTAGCAAAGATAAAGATGCCACAAGGCTGATTTACCTTAAATCAATGCAATGCTCACCACTAAATTTACCGTAGTTGGGCATGCATTCCACAATTATCCCACCACATAGATACCAGAAGAGAAAACATTTAAGATTCGAGATGCATTAAAACTTGTCTTGAGTTTTCTCACTTACATGGACAAAAGCAGTGTAATGACCACCTCCCATACTCCCATAATGGTTGCTGATGGCATAGAGCATATACCGATAAGCAGTCTGGCCATTCTTGTGGGAGATGTAGCTCGAAAGGTCAAGATCACCTATGGGAAAATCGACATATGTCTCCAGCTTGTTCTTCATAAACCGACTGTAAGAGAATCTTTTCAGATGAATAACAAGAATTTCTGGCAGTCTCCACAGATCCAATTTCTTAACGGCTTGCCTGTGCTCTTTGCAGCCAGGACAATACCTAAAACAAGATCGACTCAATTCAGCCACTGAAGTGAAAATAGCCCAAAGTATTGGTAAAAATCTAGAACATGGAAACAATGAAGACACTATATAGTGGAGAATTATAGCAAAACACTGCATTGAATGCACAAAAGCTTTAACACAACAATACTGAGCACATTGGAACCTAGACACCAGTAATTTTTTTTTTTTTGAAGAAAATCTTGATCTGTATCTAGTTTCCCTCTTTGTCAAAATAATAAAGGCTTTTACGCGTCTAAATGCAAGAAAATCTGATAGGAATGGTTATAATGGCCTGGTCTTTCTACTCACCACATGTCATCAGGACCTAGAGGCTCGTCCGTCAAGAATGCTTCAAGGCATTTGTAGAGCGAAACTGATTCTTGGGATTTCTTTGTTAAAGGCCCAGATTTGAAAACCTCAGGCAAGGTGCTCAGAAGACAGGTGTCGTAAGTCTCCAGCTCTTTGACTGGCCAACGTGCAAGAACATTCACCCGCTTGGGTTTGACATTTATAGGCTTATCTTTCAATACCTCAGAATCTATGAAATTTCCCCGCTCATCAGTAAGATAGAGCCTCAATGCAGAATCTGGACCAGATTCGGCAGTCTCCTTCACGTCACTGGAATTTACTTCCTCAGCTGAAGCAGTACCATTGACAACTGCTTCATCCGGGGCTTCTTCAATTGTACTTTCAGGATCAGTAGTAGCAAGTTCAGTTGGTATCTTAAATGGAGTAAGCAGTTTCATGTACATGTTTTCAACATCAGATCCATTGACTGCATCATTGAGTCTTGAGACCAAGGGGATTCCAAATGCCTTCCAAGTAGCGTTCGATTTCCCTAGAATAAACTGCCTGGAAACAATTGAAACCGTAAGAGACTCTGTAAAATAGGTATGCAGAGACCGACATTCATTTAATTGTTTTGTACATAATAGTCATACATTTATACTAGGGCAAAGACCATAGATATTAACAGCCAAGTCAAATTGCATCTATCATAAAATTTTACTTCATGTGACAGGAACGAGAAGAAATGTATTACGGCCACACTAATGTTCAAAGTCTCAAGGGACTCAACTTTGCATCATCAAAACCTTATTTAGCAGTTGAAAGCCACACAAAACTTACTCTTTCATCTTTTGATGCATAAAGACAACTAAGGGAGAATTATCTGTATCTTTCTTGAGCCGATAAACAACAAGTTGGTCACCATCTCTAATCAAAGTTAATGAATCAGTAGGCTCCTCCAGAAAGCGGATAACCCGATTGTTGTATATCTGCACACAAGTCAACGATATCAGGAAACCAAATAAATCACATAGATTTTGAACTGCAAAAATAAAGATATCAAATAGCTAAGAAGATAGTGGACAGATAAAGTGCTGGTGACATGTGAGAAAAGGAAACCATGAACACTAACAAACATAAAGGTGTAAAACAGCCAAAGATAAAGGTGGAAAACCAGTCTTGGTGAGCGAGAATAAATGTATTGAAGATTCTGTCCATAACTCCACTCAAGTAAATATTCGAGATTTAAGAAAGGTGAATAAACTTAGTTTGGCCAGCCCAGTAAAGAACAGCTCAAGAGATTCTCATTCCTGTATCAAGAAACATCAGGACTTCACGTCTTCACCTAAGCACTGACACAGAAATTCACTGCATCAATTGTAGCAATATACCTCAGCAACCATTAGAGTTTCATCCTCTGGTAAAGAGCAGGCTGAGACAAGAGCCTTCCGAAGATCTTCAAATTTCCCAAACTTGGGAACGTTAACAGTCAGCGCAACAGGCAAACTACTCCCATCGCTCCTTATGACTGTTAATGTCATTGTTCGCATTGATGTGCAAGGTAAAGGTAGTGATAGATACATGAAAGGATCAAATGTGACAGAAACCTTTCTGCAAACAGGACAGACTAATGTCGATTTGTATTGACCCTGCAGTCATACAATCATGTAAAAGAGTTATGAAAACCATGCAAGGATCTATTCTAAGCAAATGCACTAAGACGAAAAAATGAAGCTATGGTGAATGTTAAAAGTTCATAACTTCATATGTAATCCAGATTGGTTAAAATTCATAGAGTTTCAAACACAACAGCAGTTTTCCAGAAGTTCCTAACAAAGATAAACATGCCGAAAAAATGAACAGGGAAATTACTTTCCTCAAAATCTTAATGGATATTAGGTACTTAGACTAGAAGTAAAATTTTAGTAAAAATATTAGCAGTTAGCGCACAATGGCAATAAATCCTATAAGATACCCTGATACTCCATGGGTTAAGGGCACTATGAAATTTCCTAATTTTCAAGTCAAACATGATCCTCAAAATGATTAACCAACAGAATTTAGAAAACAGAAGATATTTACTTGGCACACATCGACAACTATCGAATCGTTGCGAGCCATGTGATTTTGCCAATACTCATCAGCCACTTCTTTGTCTGGCCGACCATCTGCATCTTTTGTTTCCACGTAAGGCTTGCATCTTACACGGTTTAAGTCCTCGTGAAGTCCATCCAACAAGAAGGCCAGCAATTCCTGCAACATAAAAAAGGAAAAAACAAATTGACGTCTGAAAGATATGCACAGAATATCCAATATTTGATCTTCACTAGTAAAAGACAGATAGACCGCAAGGGAGGGCTCAATGGATTCAGATCCTGGTAAACGAAAAGTTAATTTCCCTGACCTGCGAATCATGCTGATTAAAGCCACTAAACTGAGGCGCAAATCGAGCAAGTTTTGCTTTGAATGTCCTTGGGGCCACTGTTGATGCACCTGGAGCCCACAAGTTCCTTAACAAGTCCCCAAAAGCCAAGGCAATCTCACCCTGCCAGAAGAGATTTTGGCAAGTGAGACCCACCTTAAATCAACAAAATCTGTTAACTGACACATTGACTTAAAGGTATAAAAAACAGATTCACATACTTTCATGCCCAACGGGTTGTCAAGGTTTATTTCTCGACTGTACTCCCCGAGAAAAAAGTCAACAAGCTTCGGTGTGTGAGCCAAGCATTGAAGGGCACTATTCATAAAGCATGTATTTCCTAGATTTTGCAAGCCAGTCAACCCCAAAGACCCTGCTTCTCCAGCTTTTCCCAAAAAACTCAAAGAATTACTCCGTCTAAAGCCAAAGCTTGAGGCACCATTAAAACCATTGACAGTCTCATTCGCTGCATCATCTTCCTTTTTGGAATCCTTGCATTTGATGGAATCTGATAAGCCAAAAACTTGCAACTCTAGGAGCATCTGATGGACAAAAGAGCAATGATGAATAAGAAATACCAAAATGAACGGGCAAACATACACAAACAAATATGTAAATACTAAAATATACATTTATGTGCATGCATGTGCTTGTGTGTGAAAAATTCCATCTATTATAGGATAACTTTTAGCACACTAACACATTATGCGTTATCCAATAGTGGCGTACTTACTTCCTGACCTGGTAGTTGCTGAACATCCTTGGAATTGCTCATGTCATTTTCAAAAAACAAGATTGTTTGGCCAGAAAAATCCCAAATGCGCAACTGGCGAAACCAAAAATGAGATAGTCATTTTCATTGAACAAGAAAAAAAGTACGAGAAGTATGACTTGTAGCACATACACGGAGGCATAAACTTATAAAAAGATACAGTAAACAGCTAAACAGAATGGTGGGAGGGGGGAGGACTTCTTGCATGTGTAAGGTAGTCTGTAAAATATGCAGGATGCATGAAACAACAGATTACCTGCTCGGAATCCAAACTGAATATCTTGCACGCTCTTCTGAAGCTTTCAACTGCATTGTCCTACACGATGGAAAATAAAATTAGGAACAAAAAAAAACGATCAGGAGCTAAGCAAAAAACTCACAGGAACAAGAACGAAAAACATATGAAAAGAAATCCAGTCAACATAAAATGGCTCGAGCATGAATCTTCAGCTGGAAAATGAGTTTACAAGCTTTAGAGCAGATCTCCACGCATATTATAGAGATAAATGATAAATGGATCAAAATCAGTAATGAATCTAGAATTGTAAAAGGAAAGTTTGATCGGGCTTACTACCAAAGGAAAAATTGTAGGACATATAAGAGAATTCTAACAGCAGAGAACGACAGAAGTTACAACATTAAGTTCTAAAGGAAACATGTATAAATAAGGTCCTCAATCGGGAATGTGAATAATAAAGGAGATACGTTTGATCTAACCTTTTTGCAAATTTTAACTCCTAGTGAAGTTGTTTCCCGCAGAACAGAAAGCCTGAGTTGTACTGGATAAACATCACCCCTATCGACTCCTCCAGCCGAGAAACTTTTCATGCCTTTCTCAGCATTTTTGGCATCATGATGCCTACAGAATCAAGAACCATGTCAGACACTGAGGAGAGGATGTTGAGGGAAAACAAGCATATAGACATAACATAAGTTACCAACTGACTTGAGAGCATAAAATAGACAACCCTGAGAAAGTATCATGCATCATAACATAAAAGTCTGTAGACTCTGTACGTTACACATTCAGTACAACTTAGCAAGCCATTGGCATTAAAAAACAAACAAATTCGATTGAACGCCGCAAAACAAGATAGACAAAGGATACCAGCTAATGACTTGAGTCATTATAGAAGGAACCACATATACACTCAAAAGAAACCGTAGAGATGTCTACTGATAACAACATATACTTATTAAAACTCACCATTTTAGAGCCTGCAACCACATATCGCTTGAGACCAAAGCAAAGTCCCGGCCTGAAACACCTACTTCTCCTACCTCACCATTTTGTACCGTATCTCCTTCTCTCCTCAGATTGAACAAAATATCAGAGTTAAAGATGTTGTTTATCAACTTCATTGGGCCCCCATAAGATGACCCCGTTGTTGCAGTATACATGATTTCTTTTTTCTCATCTGATTCAGAAGGCGTTGAATCTTGGGCATCTTTCCACCACCTAAAATCCAAGTTCCAACAATTATTTGATCAAGTATTACCAACATACTGCAGAGCACATGACAGAATCTCGAGTGGATTAAAAACATATTACATAAAAAACATAGAAAAATAAACCCAGAAAGAAAATCCCCATTCTTTGCTCGAATACCCATCCCTAATCCAGATACAATTTTCTGCTGTCAACTCGACACCTAAAAACTAGAGGAAGGACGGGTAAAAACTAAAAAGACAAGGCTCCAGTCCAAAGCATAAGAAAATGAATATACCATAAAAAAAATGCCTCATCCCAAACTAGGTACAGGTTGTCATCAACATCCAAGCCTTAAAAACAATAAATCTGGACCATAAACTTGATAAGTAATCAAGAAATAGAGAAGAAACCAAACCAATTGCTTGCGGAAGTATGTAAAAAGAAGACACCTTCGAGAGAAGATCAAATAAATCTTCATCATGTTCGACCAAGACCGCCGTATTGTTTCACCTAAATACTGTAATTCTTAGGGACAGAACCCAATCAAATCTCATCATGTAAAACCAAATCGTCCAATATAAAAATATATCAGGGACTCTATCGTATCTTTTCACCCTTTTTTTTGCATCAAGGTAAAGTTTTCACAGTTTTCGATTCCTTCATTCATCGAAGAATCAAAATGCGGCAATAAGCTCAAACAAGGAACAGAAACAATCTCATCCTCTCGAAAAGTGAGCATCATAGCCAGAGCCATATCACATCCAAATTCTATAAACCCTAAATCAAATCAATCCTCCAATGCCATGCTATCCAAATCAATGATACGGGAAAACAAGCTCCCCAGTAACTTGGATTCGATTCAAGATTCACCGACTTCTACCATCGGTAAAATTACGGGAAACGTGGAAGCTAAGAAGACGAGATGAGAGAGAAACCTCAATGGGACGAAGTAGACTCTCTGGTCGGCGTTGTCCGAGTCGATCCGCTGTGTTGAACCGGAAGATTCCTCGGACGACGTCCCGTTCATTGTTTTTCCCAACAGCGAGCAAGATTCGCAGATAGATGCAGATTGGGCGACTGTGAGAGTGGAGGAGGGAAATTTTCAGACAATGTGGAGCATTTCCAATGAGAGAGAGAGAGAGAGAGAGAGAGAGAGAGATTTGCAGAAGAGGGTTTTTTTGGAAGGTCTCGTGAAGATGGTAATTGCAGAAGAGCATTTCCAAGGAGGGAAATAAATATATATATATATATGTGTGTGTGTGTATATATAACTCATTTTCATCGGGAGAAAAAGCACTGTTCATACATGAGTGTATATGAAAATATATTTATATCAATAAATCCTATGAAAATGGAACAAGTAGCAAATTAAAGTCGGACAGGAAACCAACAAAATCAAATAGTTAGCGAATTATATTTTTTGTCCGAAACAACTAAAAGAACAACAAAATTATCCATTAATGACTGAGTCTAATTTACCTCAAATCGAAATAGATTTGAAAATAAATATTTCTCATATCTAACATTATTATTTCATATTTAGATATCAAATCTGATACTATTTTAATTACTCTTATTTTTCCTAATAATTTGGTTTAAACCTTTTTATAATATAAATTTATAAGGTACACAAATTTTAAAAATCAATTTATCATAAATATACCTTAATCAATATAAAATTAAACAAATTTTGTTTCGAATAGTTTTATGATAGAAACAAACAAAATTATGTTTTGATTTACAACCCAAAAGGTTGGATAACCAATCGATTTGTTTTAATTTAATTATAATAAACCAAAACTAAAAATTTAAGTGAATTTCACTGATATTATTTTTAATTAATTTAAAATTACAAATCTTTTATCAATCCCAGAATATCAAACTTCTAAACTACAAAGACATGATGAAAGTCGAAAACTTTCTCCACCATTCGTTCATATCGAAGATTTTATCACGGGGCCTAAATTCGATTAAGTTATAAACCACAGAAGCTACATATATTCAGGCAAATCCTATCAGTAGAACCTCGAGGTCGGGTTATAAACCGCCCCACCAGTATACTGACCTCTAGAATCGAACCCGTGATCTCTGTTGCTGCCGTGAACCCGAGCCCTCTCCCCATACCCATCAAACTGATCCGAGCCATAGGGCCTGGAAGGTGCATCAGCCATGAAAACTGGATCTTGGGTATTACCAATGTAGCCGCGGGAATGAACGGGAGGAGGCAACAGTTCACCATGGCCAGCTCCAGTTTTATGATACTGATCCATCATGGCCATTGCTTGTTGGTTATATTGTTGCTGGCGAGCTTGTGATTCTTTCCTCATAATCTCTTCTCTCTTAGTTGTGTGTCGTGTCCTTAGTGCAGCTAACTGTTCTTGATATCGGGTATTAATGGTGTTTATTTTCTGATGAGATACGAAAAAGAAAGATGACAGATCGAGAAATGAATCAACTTTAGGGATCATTGAGTATTTAAGAAGAAGCGGTTTACAATTTATGGGGAAAAGTGGACTAACCTCCCTATGTCGGGCAATTTCTGCATCCTCAGCTTTGGTTTGCTCCTTTGCTAGTCTTGTTATATCCTCCATGAACTTTTGTTCAATACCTTCAAAGGTCTGCATCAAACGATTATCCTCATAGCCGGTATTCGGGTTCTCTTGGAGAGGTTGGGCCCTCCGGTCAGTGCCCTTATTATCCATTCCCACTTTCGAATCCATCGAGCCCCGGTAATATGACCTTGATGAATCAACCGCTTGAGCTGCAAAAAGAAGAAGAGCAAAAACTCAAACCAGAATCAAGATACACCCTCAATCTTGAATCAAAGACATTCAGGGCGACATAGATGCAAGGAAACATGTGACTGTATTTATCAGGCGACATATCCATGTATATACACACATGCGATCTTCAGTCACATTCAGGGATATATATGTGTAAGGAAAGAATCATGTAACTGTTCCCTTCAGTTTCCGCTTGAACATAAACCCTATAATTGATATGTGAATAGTACAAGTAATGAGAGCACATTTGAATGCTATTGTCTGCGGTAGAGAGTATATGGCACAAAGTCTAAATCAGTTGAGGCACATTCGGGGACTAAAACATTTTCCAGTCATTGAACTAATTGAAAACTTTATTTCAGGTAGAGGCTTTAGCGTTCCTCCGAAAGCGGTTGCTCTTCAAATACAAAGCTACTCTCTTTACTTCAAAGATGTTTAGCAAATATGGTTACCTTCGTTGTACATGGAAGATGCCATCGGCCTTGACATATTTGGACCTTCACGTTCCCATCTCCATTGACCATCTGCTTGTGAATCTGAGTATGGTGGTTGTTCCCTCTCAGGTGTGAAAGCCTCTAACTGACCTTGAAAATCGGAGTGGGAATTATGATCCATTCGCTGGCTAGACGGGTGCTGCATTTGTCCAGCTGTGTACGCAACATTGGCACCTGAATCCGCAAAGTTTCCATGTCTTCTCATTTATTATTTGCGTCAAACCCGACCTACAAAAGCATAAGCTGTTTGGTGGGCATAGCTGGATAAGCTTGTCAAAGGCAAGTTACCGTAGCGAAATCCAACTAAAAAACCTAAAAGCACAAAAAAAAAACCCTTTCCAGTTGAGAAATATAATCTGAAAACTTATAATCATATTGCAGAACCCAACCAAATCCAAGGTATCCCATTTCATCTTTGTTTCTTCGTTAATCCACCGATTTTGAACAAGGTGGAGCATGGTTTCACTTCATAGCATACAGAGTAAATCATGCTCAGAGATTCCACCCATCTTAAAAAACCATTTCATTTCAGTTGGATGTAGACACAGCCAAACCCGAAACTTCTCCAAATGCATATTCATTCACAGAACATAACAAAATTACAGGGCCTCTTGCCATAAGAAACCAAAGAATCTCACCTCCAAGTCCAATGACAATACAAAGAGAGATATCTCTCATGAACTCCAACTACAGGAACCCAATCCTTGCTACAACCTTAAACGTTCAGAAGAATTCCTAAGACAAAACCCAAATTTCCCGACAAGGAAACGGAAGGCTACGCTGATAATCTCGCGAGTTGCTGTCTTGAAGGGAAAGCAGTAGCCCACAACAAACGGAGAGGTTTGAGCACAAAGAGGTTAACTTTGAGACCAAAACGTCTTCAAAACTGAACAGTGTCAGAGATTCAGAACCTAAGCCCGAAAGAAAACTCGAATTGAATTCATATGGTTTTGAGCCAAACAAAGGCCATAAAAATTGTCAGATCGGAGATATTTCGACAATAATTTAGCGTGCAAGTTAAAAAAAAACACCCAAAACAATATCAACAAACGCATCGATCCATTGTGTTCGAATTCGTCAAAGATTAACAAATCGAGCCGGAAAGGATAATCAGAACCCAGACCAAAAGCGACGGAAAGAAAGCTAAATAAACACGACAAACAAACAAACCAAAAAATCGAAAGAGATTACAAAGCCTGGAAATTACCGGTTCCAATGATCACTCGCACTAGAAAATTCTTCCGCAAGAACAAGAAGAGGGAAGGAACAAGCCCCTGAAGCTACAGCGGGCAGTGGCTAGAAAGGGCGATTTCTATTTGAATTTGGTGGATCGGGTCAGGCCTGTATTGTTGTCCGGTTTGGTGTCGGGCCGGATCTTTACCCGCGGATTATAGACATTGCTTTTTGGGCATTACATAGAAATAAAAATCTTCATCACCCTCTTCTCTTGACGTATGTACACAAATTTCTAGTACGGGGCAAAAAAAGAAACAAATAATTTGGTTTCAAACTATAGAACGAATCCATTATCTCGTCGAGTTTCGAGCTAAAGAAAAAGGAAATATCACTATATTTGATGATCTTGTAATGAGTCTCTATCCCTGTATATAATATTCTATGTCCATATATTGAATACACAGGAGTTCTAGTAAGAGAGCCTGACGGGCAAATACGTTATATCACAGAATATTTCATAATCTTGTAATCTACCTCATACGAGAAAAAAGAAACGGCAAAACGTATCAGATTTCTGGCCGGACACAAATCTAAGTATCCGTCATTTCGGGTATCCGATCCCGGACTTCCGACATCATACCCGTATCAATCGGAAAAATACCCGCAATGCCGGTTATTCACAGGTTAACCAACTGATGAGGAATGAGACGAAGAGTGCGATGTGTGTGAGATGAGACAAGGAAAGTAGCAACGGGAAGAACTCGAGACCGAGGTCGAGGTGATGAAGCAAGAGAGGCGAGACAAGACCGATGAGCAACAAACCCTAACCCTAGCCTAGGCAATGAATCTCCGAATGACGAGACAGCAGACAAGGCGGTACTAAGAGTACGGATAACCCATTCCCGAATATCAGATTCCCGTCCTCGTGACTCATCCCGTTATCAAAATTCAGATACCCGATCCGTAGAATTGGATCAGATACACGAAAATACGGGTTTCATGCCCATCCCCATCCCTAGGTTTTACCATTTGGTGGAGAGAGCGCAATAAACTTAAACAAAGACTATGGTTTTTAGAGAAAGAGAGGAGTTCACATCTTCAACAAACAAGTTTTATTCTCCACACACAGAGACAGACAGTTTGGGTCAGAATCCTAAGTAGATAGACACAATGTCTCGAAAGAGACTGCACAACGGAAAATACGCACATACACACATTCTGAACACTAAGTGTTGCTGTGTGGGGCTCGGTTTCTAAATATCCGAGACTGAAGCCCGTAACGCAATCTTGAAGCCGAAGCTGATGCAAGTTAACTTTTTACCTTTCGTGTCACTCATCGTCATCCTGAGCGTGTATGATCCCTGTTTGAAAAGATCGAAAGAGATTCATCTCATCAGATCATCACACAGATTCATGACATCGTGAGATTATGCCTCGTTGCATCAGAAAAGCCATATGATTTTCTGATCTGATGCTTTCACGAGTGTTCAATCCGTTCCCGGCCTCAATCTTGTTCTACAGGTAGTATGTATACGCAAGATGTTGAATATCGAGAACCAAAAAGAAAACTTACAGGCGGTGTAAAAGAAGGCAATGTTTGGGTGTGAGAAAGCACAAAGCTGCCTGTTGAGACAGGGCAGGATGTCTCTTCGCAGAGATCGTGAGTTTCCGTATGAACATGAATCCCAAAGTAGGAAACACTGATTTCTACTTCCCCTCCGGAGATGTCTTCGCCTATTATTCACACATTGATTAAAAAAAGATTCTTTATCCGATGGGATTAAACAGAAAGCATGTCTCAACTCAGCTGAGATAAAAAAAAAATACTAAATATACAGAGAAAAGATCAAGAAGAGAATTACTTGAAGAACCCAATATCTTAAAGGTGGCAGGCTGACCACTCAAGACGGGATCGGGCGAGATCTTGACGCCATTGACCTGGACAGGGTATTTGCCTTTCTTGTCTACAACCAATCAAATAAGTTCAGAGAATGAGACAGAAGTAAACAATATGATCAGAAGCCCAGGTTAAGGACAAGGAAAATCAACACCAGCATCATGTCAGTAGATAGAGAATGGGTAAAATCCATGTTACAGAGAAAGAAAGAAGAGATACGGAAAGATTTCTGTAAAGAGCTATCAATCTATTGAATTTGTTAAAAATGATGTTCAGTCTCATGGTACATCATCTACTACTCCTAGTCTTTCTCATCTGTTTCTGTTGCTTGAAAACTTTTTCCCTCATCAGACAGACTACTCAACTCGTATAAAATTTTGGAAACCTCCAATCCCCGCTATAGTGATCTCTTAGAAATTTCTCCAGAGAAGAACTACATAAACTAAACCACTTATTCCTTAAAATCTGCTTACCCTCAAACAGAGAGTTCCCTACATGTCTCAGAAGACAGAAGTGGAGAATCTGCTCTTAAAATCTTCCATGCCGGATCCAAACTTTAGATAAACCAGACCAAGTTACCCATGCAATAACCACAAACTAGGCCATTTCACTTTTGTAGCCTAAAATCTGGGTTTCAACAACTTTGTGTTTTGATCAAGTGAAAAGGGTACCAAAAAGCCGGAATCCATTATCTCATGGAGTACTTTCAACAGCCACCTCACCTTCCCGACCTAAAGTATGAAACTTCACAGAAACTATAGACCTCTACGCTCTATAATCTGTCTCCAAATAGACGTGCATGGAACATTGCATGCATTTGCTCAGTTGCTTTAACTGATGTTGAACACGCTTGTTCTTGAGACAAACACGATCCGAATACCGCTAATCTCACAGGTGCCACATGCAATCGAAACTTAAATTCAAAATAACCATATTTTATTTTTCTTCATCGACCAACTCTAGTTAGGGTTTCAAATCCAATATCCCGGATTCCGAAACCACTTAGCTGAGCAAAAGTAGTAAATTCTCAAGCACAATCGAAAAATTTCCCCCCCAAAAAAAATGATCAGTTAGTAAACTCAATGGAACCCTAGGATTTCAGACGAAAACCAAATCAAAGCAGAAACCATTCTCAAGAACAACGCAACAAAACGAAGACCAGAGGAAGGAACAAACCGCAGTAGCTGACAGAAGTGGCGGGAAGAGAAGGCAAGAAGAAGAGAGATACGAGGAGAAGAAGCAGAAGGTGAGCTTGAGATATCGCCATGGAAGAATTTCAGATGAAAAACACGAAAGGATGAGAGATGAATGCTCGTCAATTTCGATTCCAGGCCCTCCAAGTCAACAAGAGGAGTTTTTTTTTTTTGTTTTTTTTGTTGCTAATATAAGGGTTTTTTTGTGAAGACAAATCTAACGGTGGCTGATGAGTTTAATGAGAACAGCCGAACGATCCAACGGTCCACGTGTAATTTAGGATTACATACAAAATCTAATTTCTAGGCATTTATTTATTTACGGTAAAAAAGCATTTATTTATTTTGACCCGCTGTGAAAATGAAATGATTTTTTAATTGCACCGGTTTAGAAAGAACCGGGTCTAATCCTTTAAAAAAAATTTTCTTTAATATTGTTAGATCTTTTCATGCTGTTCCTTTACATTTTTATTTAGCGATCCATGATTTCGAACACATCCCTAGGAAGAAGACAATATCATTGAATAACAAAAAAAAATGTTACATTATTGAGAACAAAAACATTTTATTTTTAGATTTGGAGTATCCAAGCTGTCGACCGAGAGAGGCCATGCCATGTGCTTTTTGCCTCGGAAGAATCCGAATCATTTTTTTTCTTCCTTTATTTCATTTCTACTCTTTTTTTTCCATAAATGTTATTTCTGCTTTTTTTATACACGGAATATTTATTTGGAATCTTTTGTAATTTTTATCGGATTTATAATTTTTGGAAATCATACCACAATTCCAAGTTTTGATATATTTTACGGAATATTATTATATATTTTAATTTTGTTTTGGATTATTCCTAATTATCATTGATTAAAAAATACATTTAAAAGTGATTTTTGATTTTCAATTATTTTATTAAAAACCATCTCTTATTTTTTGTATTCATCTTGATTAAATTTTCTTTCACATAATCACAACTATTCACTTTTACAAACAATTATCAGCTTTTTTTTATCAAATTATTAGTAAAAACCTATTAACAATAACTGTATATTTATAAAGAAAAAATGAAATTGATTTTATACTAAGAGTAAACGTAACATTATATGAATAACAATTATAAATTATAATTTTTATTTTATTTTTTTGTGTCCATCGAATCCTCTCTGAGAAATTGCAACCATGAGATCTAGGTCAATAAATAAATAAATATAAAATAAAATAATAATAATAATATGTTCGAGAGTTTGGGGTCACAAATCAAACTTTGTTGTTGTGGTATTATCAAAAATCTCATGAAAAAGACTATATAACAAACAAAAAATGATTATTTTTTTCACACCGTCATTATTATGTCCTTATTTTGGCCCCTCTCTGAAAATAATGATTCTGCCAATTGTCTCACATTATTATAATATATATTTAATCTATTTATTGTTTGGACATACACACAAATTATTTAATATAGTTTACCAAAAAATTATTTAATATATTTAAAGAAATACCGTTGTGATTAATGACTTGGAAGTGGCGCAAAGGCGTGGGATTTACAGCGCAACGTACAACTGACACTCCCCTGAAGCATCAGATCCAAATCCAACCGAGAGAGAGAGAGATGGTGAAGTGAGAAGAGAGAAATCGCCATGGATGATCGATTTTGCTTCAGCTGCAGGACTCGGCTTCTTCTTCTTGCGTGGCTCCGTCGTTCTCGTTCTCGTAAGCAAGAACTCCTACGATTCTCGTTCCTATTTTCTTGTTCGTGTTTCTCAACAGACGCGATTTTCGCTGTTTCTGATTGTTCGATTTGAAGTACCTTGAGTCCATCAATTCGGATGAAATTTGGACCCTTTTTGATGCTTCTCGATAAATCTCGATTCGATAGTTTTGAAGTTCTATTACGCAGATGCCGAAGAGTTAGGCGAACCCTAGGGTAAAAGCGAAGTCTAATTTGGGCATTACCCTCTACTTTCATACTAGTTTCAGGAAAAAAAATGTATTTCGTCAGGAATGTTTGATTCGGTATTCTTAGCTGACAAGTCATTGTTCATTTACATCACTGAGCTATCAATTGATTCTATGGAGTTTGCTGATTTGTTCTGGTGTCAACCCTGGTTAAGGTATTGTTTTTGGATGATTCCCAGCCAATCAATTGAACAATTCTGAGAGTTCTTGGATTTGTTTTTGACTTTAGTTTCTAGAGTGTAGGATTGATGATTGGAATCATACGTACGGCCTCCAAATCCACTGTTTTCCCTCTCCAATCGGAACTTAAGCTCGAGATTGTATATCCTTCCTCAGTTCTGTAGAGACAAAACGCATGTGGATTTGAAATGGAACAACATCTCCACAAAGTTTAAGCACACAAATGCGAAAATTGGCACCCTTCTGGTACTGGCTTCTTTTGGGTGTGACTTTATCAGGGCTTACAGTTATGGTCATAGCACCATAAGAAATCAGATTATGTCGAGTACCATGACATCCCTTTCTTACTAGATGCATTTGTTTTCATGGCGACGAAGCTCTCATAAACTTGATGATAACTATCCAGATGTGTCTGTGTTGTTCGTTATGTCTGAAAACTTCATGCCACCTCTTACTATGTGATCATCATTAGCAGGAAGAATAGCATTTATTAGACGCTATGGTTACAAGGAAATAGTGAGAGCAACAGACAGTTTCCGCTGGATTATCTACGATAATTATCACGGGTCTGCTTATAGAGCCAGATTCAAGGATGGAGAGGCGGCTTTGGTCAAAGAAGTAAGATCTCTGGATCTCGGACAAGAAAGCTTCTACGAGGAAGTGAAACTCTTGGGGCGTTTACATCACCGCCATCTCCTCACGCTTCGTGGGTTTTCCACCGGAAACAAGAGGTCTGAGCTCTAAAGATCATTATAACTTTTTCGGGGTGAGATCATTAGGTGTGTGTGATTTCTCGGAATTGGAAAGAACCTATGCCTGTTTTCTTGATATTCTGACATTTTCTTATTATTTACAGACTGCTGGTTTTTGACAACATAGAAAATGGAAGTTTGAAAGAGCACCTCAACGGTAACCCTCGGAAGAAAAAGTATCGAAAGCCACAAACCGTTAGGCTTTTCTCTTACCAAATCTTGTGCTCTTTCTCAACAGATCCTCTCAGGACTCCTCTGAATTGGAAGGCTCGCCTCCAGATAGCCATTGGAGTCGCAGCTGCACTGGTATGCTACTTTGCCATAGTCATTCTGTCATAGATACAGAAATACAGAGAACATTGGAGACAAATTAGACAATTGCTATCCTCTTAATAGTATCATAATTTTCTCAACATTCTATGTATAGCTCAAGTCTTTATAAGTACATGATTGAAATCGTCTTTTACCAAATCGCAGGAATATTTGCTTCTTTTCAGCAATCCTCCGATGTACCAAGTGTCCATAAGCTCAAGTAACATCATGTTGGACGAGAACTTCACCGCAAAGGTAAGTATCAAGAATGCATTGTTCTGTCCATGTTCTGAAAACCCGTTGCCTATAAATGGAACAAGAAAAACTGAGTAGAGAAAGATCAAAAAGCTAAAATTACCATCTTACAGATTTCGGATGTCCGGCTCAACAGAGAATCCAGAAGCCACTCCAAGGCTCCCAATGTTTCTTGCTCGGAAGGTAACTAGCCACAGCTCAGCCAAAATGCAACATTCTTCTAAGTTAATTGATATTTGCGCTGTGAAAATATACCCGAAAACCGGGTACCCGACTCGTTGGTACTTGGTACAAATTCGGCGATGACGAGAACCCGATCTTTGGGTTTGGGTGTTGATCGCTGAGAACTCATGCCTGCGAGTATCCGACATTAGACGCACCTAAGTATCAGCTATATATTTCAGTATATATATCATAAAGATATAAAATTTTAAACCAAATCAAGAAACTACCAAACTAAAATATTCGTATGTATCTATAATATATACCTAGGTAAATATCAGAGATGTTTTGTATACATCTCTAATACTAGGGTAAGGGTCAGTTTCATGGCAAGTGGCGAGCGACAAGTTTGAGAGAACAAATTTGTCATGTGAAACTCGTATAGGGCAACCCATGGGTATCCAAACATTCGGGACACCCCAGAGGTATCTGAAGGATCCCGATTCCAGGGACCCAAGAGGCAATATTTGAAACCGGTGTACCAAAATCACGGTTATCTGACCCACGTCCATTGCCAATCCTAATTAATATCTGCAGAATACAGACAAATCCTTAAATACCCATTTGTGCGTCTGATCCATTCATGTTGAATCTAATGTATGCAGCATCTTGTTCAGAAGAAGAATCAAGCAATGTGATGTTCCAACTAGGCGTACTGATGTTAGAGCTAATAACGGGGCAATCATCGGACCAACAAGGAGAAGACTTGATAGAATGGGTCCAAGACTCGTCATCGAGCAACGGGAACTCGATCGATAAAATGATCGATCCAGATTTAGGTAACAGCTACAGTTCTAGGCAACTCCATAAACTCCTAGCCGTTGCTCGGCTCTGTGTAAAATCCAGGTACGAACCTTCTTCATTCTCCATAACACATGTATACAGGTATCTTGAGAAGAAGATTGGTACGGATACGTAGCATTTTCCAATTGAAATAAAATTACCTTCACCCGCTACACAATTTCATTAAATAGTCTACAGATAGAATTTCAGAAACTATAGTTTCATGTTGCAGAGTTTTGAGCTGAGTTAACGACGGTGTTATTTGTAAAATACCAATGGGTTATAAATAAAATGGTATAACCTATTGGGTTGGATTGGTTCTGTTATCAACAAAATAAAATCAATTAATTGGTCGGTTTCGTTTGATCATATATGCATTTCTTTTTGTCAAATAATATGATTGATCCTTGCATTATAGTCTTGAATTTGACGTCTTTATTTTGTTTACAAAAAACGCCACAATGGAATATGTACACTGTTATTTACGTTCTATTCATTTATTAATCGGACCGAAATTCGATCATAGATTTTTAAAGATATAAAAGGTAATAACCATTCCCACAACTGAACCAATTTCAATTAAATTAACGGCTTAGCTGTGAATTTTTTTAAATAAAAAATCCAATCGAACCGGATAACCCTAAGTCGACCAGTTTTTTCTTCGCGATAAGCAACGACAGAACCAAAAACATGTCAGATGGATAAAAATATTTGATGAAACATTAATTAAGAAAAAAAAAAAAAAAGAGAACAGAAATCAAGAAGTACCACTTAGACTCTATTCGAGTCTATAAGGGTTGCCAGAATTCAATGTCTCGGACCCTTAAAACAAACACGCCACTAAGAAGAAACCACACCATCTCCATCTCCATAAAGCCTCTACTGCTGGGCACATTGGACACGCTGGGCGCCGTGTGGGCCATCGTCGTCGTCGTCATCATCGTAAGCCTCCCTCTGAGCCTGCTGCTTCCTCCTCATCTCTTCCTCCATGTTACTGACGTCATGGAGAGTAGTCTCTTCGCACTCGTCTATCTCCATCTCCGTCAGCTGCTTTTTGCTCGACGATGGCCTCCCAGGCAACACCGCTTCTATCGCCTTTGCCTGATCCGGGGAGAGCGATTCAGGGAATTCCACCGAGAAATGGATGTATAGTTTCCCCTTCATGAACGGCCTCTGGTATATCGGCATCCCCTCGTCGTTTATCGCCTTGTACGAATCTGAATAAGAGCAGAAAAGAAAAGCTCCATTTGTTAAAAAGTGCTTCTTCACACAGGTAACGCAGGTAAAGGAGAGACGGGAGAGAGGGCAAGTCGGCGAGGAAAACACGATAGGGAGGCACTGAGCGACGAGGAAATCCCTAAATCTGATTTAGTTAGAGATTTTATTAGGGTTTCACGATACTTGCAATGAGAGCGTTGTCACCTCGTTTCGCCAGCTGATCACCTTTCCCGCATACCCAAAGCTCACCTCATGAGACCGAGGCCGGGCAGGCCAGAAAACTCGGGTTACCCGACCCAGACAAGGCTGAGACCAAGTACCCGGACCGAAAAACTCGAAGGGGCAAGGCTAGGTACGCCGGAAAAACTCAGGTACCCACCCACACCCATCAATAGTTTATATGGGTGTGTGCATGTATGTGTGTTAATGATGACATTATCGATTTGTAGGAATCGAGGTCAGAGCTATGGCAGTGCAAAGATGAGATAGCATTGATGTAGATTACGTACCGGGTTTCACAACCTCTCCGGGATTGGACCTGATGAGAAGTTGTCTGCCATCCAAGTGGGTCTGCGCGAACTGGAAGCCACAGAGAGCCTCGGTTAGAGATAGGGTGTGCTCCACGAAGAGGTCATCTCCCTTTCTCTTAAACCTCGGATGCTCCTTCTGCTGAAGTACAAACACTATATCTCCAGTTACCGTGTCAGGCTGCGGATCAAAACCCAGAAAACAAAAACAAAGAAAGTCAGGAAATAAGTTAAAGGTACATATAAAACCGAGAGAAAAATGAAGAAATCGTTCAGATGGTAACTACGAACAGCTTCATCTGCTTGACCGGAGAAGGTGATCTTCTGGCTGTGTTGCATTCCTTTCTCGACATGAACTTCGAGCACTTTCTTCTCGGGGATAACCTTATCTCCCTTGCACTGTGGACAACGATCCCTGTCGCTTATGGTCTCACCAGTGCCCTTGCACTCATTACAAGCATGCTGCATCTGCTGAATCATTCCGGGTCCCAACTGCCTGATCGTGACTTTCATACCTGTTCCTTGACAGCCAGCACATTTCATAGAAGCTCCAGACTTTGAACCTTTTCTGCAATCAGAAGAAAGATACTTCCTTTGTCACTGAAATTAATACTTCTAATGGTCTCGGGTTTAAAACATCGATTTCTGTTTTAACTGTTGGGATTTCTAATATGAGAAAATGGAGAAGATAGGAAAAACCAATCAAGAAATCAAAGTAGAAATGGCTTTGTATCAATTCCAACCATTTCATATTTAGCATATGTGTTTGGTTAATTCCTTTATGAACTGTGGTGCAGTAGATACTAACCCGTTACACTTGGAGCACAAAGCATTCCTCGTAAGTGAGAGCTTCTTAGTTGTTCCGAGATAAAGGTCCTCTAAGGAGACCTTAAGAGGATGAACCACATCTTCACCACGCCTTTGTCTCCTTCCCCGGCTGCTACCACCTACTCAAAAACAGATTCAAACAAAGAAAAAGGTTTGTTTCCATCATATCATGAGATCAACAAGCAAGCAATTCCTTAAAGGAATCAAAGGATTGTGAATGAATCCTAAATCAAAACAGAAGACAATGCTCGAGAAAGGTACCTCCGAATGGGCCTCCACCAAAGAAGGATGAGAAGATATCAAATGGATCATGCCCTCCACCCGGACCACCCATTCCTTCCTTGAGCGCATCCTCGCCATATTGGTCATAGATCTCACGCTTCTCCGGGTCACTAAGAACTTCATAAGCCTGAGCTAGCTCTTTGAACTGCAATGATTATTAAAAAAAAGTACTTTTTGTTATCCCAATCAAGCTTCCAGTTACAGAAACTGTCTATAAACCGCAAGATCAAGCAGGCTAAACCTGATAAAGCAATCATACATCATCCCGATTCTCGATTGGCAAAAGAAGGAATATAATCCTCATATCATATATAACCCCAACAAGACCTAAACAACACGCCCAAAGTAATGGCAAAACAAACTCAGAATGACAGTAGGATCAATCTCAAACATCAGAACCAAGGCACACCATCAAAGGCATCATGTGCATAAATCTGGTAACCCTTTTGGAAGGTTTTGATATTTAGTTTCTCTACTACAAACCGCAAACTAGTATTTAATCAGAAGAAAGAAACTTCAAACTGTCTGCTAAAAAATCCGAGCTTTTCATCAATTTCATCAGTTATCAGACCAAGAAACCAAGGATCAATTTCATGAAATTCTCTTACAGATAAAGCGGAACGGTCAACAGACAAAACCCAGTACAAACATGAACTCAAGCATCCAGAAAAATAAGCTAGACTGAGAGTTTATCGAACCAGATAATCCGGATCGAATCCAAAACCTAGAAACCCAAAAGAAACCAATTAAGCGGAGATTTCTCACGGAATCGAACCGATAACGGACGGATCGAATCAACATACCTTCTCAGGATCTCCACCCTTGTCGGGATGGTTTTTGATGGCGGCTTTTTTGTAGGCCTTCTTCAGATCTTCCTGGGAGGCGTTCTTGGGAACACCCAGGATCTCGTAGAACTTAGTGTTGTCGCTCTTCTTCGAGGGTCCTCTTCCGAACATCTTTTCACCGTTGTCAGAAACCCTAAAACAGAGAAACCCTCTTCAATGGCGGCGGCCAAGGACGAGGGGAGAAGGCGTAAAAGGTAGGAGACGAGCGGCTACCCTTTCGAGGAGAGAAGGATCTTGTATGTTGGGTTTTCCTTTTTATTGGACTCGAACCCTCTAGAACTTTTCCCTTTTTTTTCAATAACCAACAAAAAAAAAAGAATTCCATTTCATAATTCCAAATTTCCAACTATAATTTAATTTAATTATTGAATTTAAAACAAAAAAATAATCAATATGAAATTTAGTCTAAGTTAAAGTAGCATAATCCAAATTTGTAGCACTTTTTATTTTGTATTTTTCTAGTTTATTAATTTTTGTGGAAAAAAAAGTCTGCTAACAAAATCCTAATTTATAGGATCTATTTATCAAAATCTATAATTTCTTTCCACGACATAATATGCGATAATACATTTTCAATAGAAGAAATAATTAAACAATATAACACTACTAGATCTTAAAATTTTAATTTGATTTTTAGATCTTAATAATATTAAAGTAATTAAAAACAATAATGTAATACTATTTAAAATTAATAATTTTAAATGTGTCATAGATGTTAAGTTTAGTCCAATTTCTAGATCATACAAGTTACATATTAAAAATGTAGTAGCTTATTGTAACGTATTAAATATAAAAAATATATTTACAATTTATTAATAAAATAGATCCTACTATTTGTTTGGTTGGCTAAACTTTAATTTTAATAAGTTGGAAATGCTAAAACATAATCCTCTATAACAAAGTTAGAAACCTTAGATCCTTAGATTATAATATTGTCAATTACCCGTAATTATTCGAAGTTTAATAATTCCTAAGATCCGATATAATCTAAAGTTTTTTTTAGCAGTCTTTGTATATAGATCATATAAATCCAGAAATTATCTCCCTCCCCACCAGTCAGGAATCGAACACTTAATCTCAAGATGGAGTTAACTCGTACCCAAGTTTGACCACTCGCCTATAATCTGTTGGATATATAATCTAAAGTTCAAATAACAAACTTGTAGGTAATAGGATTGTAACCTTTATGTTAAATAAAAAAATTATCCATCTATCCTCTCTAAATCAACTACAACATTAAATGAATTAAGATAATATTGTTGCTAGACCGTTTGTCCCTATTATATAAAATTCGTAGAACACAATCGATACAAATTTTAATACACGAGCATATGATTTGTCAAGCAGAAGTTTAAAATTGAAAAGTACTAAAAAATATTAATTAAAAAAAATCAATTATAATCTCAATTTTGCTAACCTAAGAACATAAAAAATTATACAATTTTTTATTAATATATATAATTTTAAACGTTTCTTATACTGATTTATCATTAAAAAGTTTTTTGAAATTGGAGTTGAAATAAATAAATTAGTAAATGTGATAGTATTTTTCACATATTTACAAGAGAAAGTATTTATCTGAAATCATGGATAATTAAGTTTTAAATTGAAATATATTTAGAAACTATGATATTTTTTTTATTTTCTTAGAACAAATTAAGAAAATGAAAAGCCCATTACTATAAAAAATTCAATACAAAGTGGGCCCAATGGATTAACAAAAACCCATTTAAATAACAAAATCCATATAAATAACGTTAGGTTGGGTTAGGTTAGGGTGGGCTGAATTACCCAATTTGCCCTCTCTAGGTATCGCTTCGCCGTTAACGGACACACCGTCGCTGACGTTTCCGTCAACCCAAGGAGAGTTCACGACAAAGACGTTACTTGACGGCGTCAGAGACAACGCCCTATGCAAAATGACGGAAACAGCCTTAGACTTTCATAAATTTACAACCGAGTGGTGGTGGAGTTGGCCACAATCAAAAAACCAATCAATATTCTCTGTCTTCTTTTGTATCTCGCTCCTGTATTCATCAGTCACTGTGAGGGAGAAGATAGCCCTAAAGATCTTCTTCCTTCGGATCGAAATCTGAAACTCTCAGCCTCAATCTCGAGAAATTCCTCAGAAATCTCTAAAACCCACGAGTTCGTGTTCTTGATTTCTCCCTTTGACCGCCAAAATTCTGCAGTGATCTTCTTGCATTCTTCGATTTCTTCGCCCTCTTTCTTCTGGATTTACTCCTCATATGAGAAAAATTGAAATCTCGTTTCGAGAATCCCTATACCCGCAAATTTTATCGGCTTTATTTCCGAGAAATTTGGATTTTTCACATCTGTTGTGAAGAGCCATTGCTTCCCAAATCTTTCGCTTGAAATCTGCAGAAGTTTGGAATCTTCTTCGCTTGTTCGTTTCCTGAAATTCCCGTTATTCGGATGGGAAATTCTGGTAGCACATTTGCGGAAAATCCCTAATTCTTCCGGTTCGGGAAAACCCAGAAGTCGAGGGACCCTAAATCGATGGGAAATCTACGTGCATTCCCGTAGATTTCCGATCTCGAGCGTGAGCGGAAGAAACTCAATCTGGGGTTCATTGATTCTAGGGTCTGGGAGTTTTCTGGCTTTTCAAATGTTCTCGAACCGTTTTGTTCTCTCCTTCTCTCTCCTCCTCTGTCTCCCTATCGTCTTCTTCCTCGTTGCCCCTCGTGTCTTCCCTCCTCCTCCCAGTGACTCTCTCATCCCTATCTCCGATGAGATCGACGACCAGAGCCTCTTCCGCCGCGCCGCCGCCGCCTCCTCGACCCTCTCCCGTCTCTCCTCCGGGAACCCTAAACCTAATCTCAAGATCGCTTTCCTCTTCCTCACCAACTCCGACCTCCATTTCGCGCCAATCTGGGATCGGTTCTTCTCGGGCCAATCTCGGTCTCTTTTCAACGTCTACGTCCACGCGGATCCGTCGGTGATCATCAACAGGCCCGGCAATGGCTCTGTGTTCGAGAACGCCTTCATCTCCTCTGCCAAACGAACCGCACGCGCCTCCCCAACCCTTATCTCAGCCACGCGCCGCCTCCTCGCCACCGCCCTCATCGACGACCCAGCAAACTCCTACTTCGCTGTGCTCTCTCAGTACTGCATTCCCCTCCACAGCTTCCGCTACGTCTACCACTCCCTTTTCGAGTCATCAACTTTCGACAAATCCGACCCGGACCAGACTCCGAAAGGGATTCGGGTCTGGTATCGCAGCTTCATCGAGATCATCTCCGAGGAGCCTCGGCTTTGGAAACGGTACATCGCCCGGGGAAGGTATGTGATGATGCCGGAGATTCCATTCGAGAAATTCCGTGTGGGTTCGCAGTTCTTCGTCATGACTCGGAGACATGCTCTGTTAACAATCAAAGATCGAACCTTGTGGAGGAAATTCAAGCTGCCGTGTTATCGAGCAGATGAGTGTTACCCTGAGGAGCATTATTTTCCGACATTGTTGAACATGAAGGACCCCGGCGGGACAACTGGTTACACCTTGACCCGGGTCAACTGGACGGGTACTGTGAAGGGTCATCCGTACACCTACAAGCCGAAGGAAGTTTCGCCAGAGCTGATTCAGCAGCTCCGGCGATCAAACCACTCAAGCTCTTACCTTTTCGCCCGTAAGTTTACGCCCAGTTGCTTGAAACCATTGTTGGCCATTGTAGACTCGGTGATTCTGAGAGATTAGAGCGCTTGGTTACTTTGCTGGTGAGTAAACTGGTCCCTAGTTTCTTTTCTTTGTTCCTTGTAGAGTTTAAAGTTTTCCTGGGTCACTGTCTTGGGTCTGTCTGGCTCAGTTCAGAGTTCTGATTGGTAGATAGTTGAAATATCAGGGATTGTTTGATCTAATCACTATAGATCTTCATACAAAACATGAGTATTGGTATAGTACATAATGATCATGATGGCATTCAGAAACAAAGCTCTTTGTTCATGGTGGAAATATAGCATTCTGAACACTTGGATTAGTCTAGGTAGGTTACCAAAATCAGTAAGAGTCACTAACAGATAGATTGCAACAAGGAAATCTTTCTAATACCTAGTGGAGTGTCTTTGCAACCACTATATTTTGTCATCGGGTTTACAGTTTACTTTTAGTATTTTGAACATTTTGAATCAATGTTTTGGTTTGGTTAGGAGTTCCTCCTCTTCGGTTCTGATTGGATGCTGCTTAGATCTTTCTTTCAAGAAAACTGAAGAGAAATTGTTGGACACCAATTTGAAGTTTCCATTGGATTCCATAAAAGTATGAAACCAATTCTTAACCTTTTCTCTTTGCTTCTTCATTTTGTGTCTCTCTTTCCCAGGGAAAGCATTTGGTATTCTCTCGTTTGCAAGCAACACCAAAACAGAGGATCAAGAACAGAGTAAGCCCTGAAACACACCAAACCCTTCAATTCTCCGACCAATGAAGAAGCAAATCTGTGATACTTTTTTGGAAGGCTCATAAAAAAAATACCCAAAAAAAAAGGGTATTATGTGGAATAAGAAGATGCTGTGTGGGGATGGTGACTCAGTCTAGTGCACCACAGACTCGAGAAAAAGATGAAAAATCCCAAAGGTGTAGTCTTTTTTTTTTAAATGTAAAATTGCCAATTTTTTTGTTTTTTTTGTTTTTTTAAATCAAGTCGATGGCTCTGCTCTCTCCACAGTTGTTCCTTTGAAGCTGGGAACTGTACATAAGAGAGATGTTTTGTCCCAGAAGGTGGGATTTGTAGTAAAGTAAGTAGGCATATGCTTGTTGTTGTTGTTGTTGTTGTTGTTGTTGTTGTGAGATTCATCTATGATGATGTGGATTTTTATTTTTCATGATTCCGAAATTGGAGAATGGCATGAATCATCTTCTTAAAAAGTGTGGTTGTGTGTATAGATTCAAGTGAAATCTTGATCATAATGTGCCTGTGGTTTTAGTTTGTTTTCTTTTGTTTATATTGTATAATATTAGTATGCATTCGTATTAAACAATTTAAAATTCTGTACAAATAATAATGGATTTTTTCTCTAGTAGGAAATAAAAAGATGGATTTTAAGATTATTTGTGTATTTATTGTTCATAATAAACAATTTAAACTTCTCTAAAACGATAATAGGTTTTTCTCTCTTTAACATTTCATAGTACAATGTAAAAAAAAAAAAAAAAAAGATCAGGGTCGGCGTTTATTGAACTATGAATTTTGTAAAAATATTCAATTATAACAGGTGAGGATTGGAACGATACGTAATTTTGATAATTAATTTAAAATCTATACCTTAGTTGGATATTTTAGCATTAGACTAAATTTCGTTTATTTCTAATCTAAAGGGTTATTTCAATTTGAAACCAACCGAATTATACAACTGGGCACGATTGATCTGATGTTTAATAATAGAGCATTTAAAAAATTTGGAGAAAGCATTTATAAGTTCACACGTGTCATATAGATGTTGAACAACAATTGACTCTTGAACAAATGATTATTGTGGTAGCTAAATGACACGCACGTGGCTGGACCATCTTTTATTTATTTCGGTTTAGATTTTAATGGATTATTGGATTGGTTTAGTATATGGGCCTAGTCCCAATTCTTGGTTTAGGCCCAAAATCATTAGGGCCTTTGGCTCTGTATGAAGAAAAATGTTTATGATGTTTTTTTTTTATTATGTATCTCCAAATTTATTACATTTTTATTGCGAAGAGGAATTTGATGAATTCCAGGCTTAGATAACAAATTCGGCAATATAGTTTTATAGTTGAATGTTATAACCCAGTTTCTAACAAAATTGTAGTTTGAATAATATTATTAACATATGAAAATAAATAAATTTTCACAAGATGTAATGTTGAACTCTCTTTATAGCCTTTGAACATTTTTTGTAATATGGGTTGATAAGTTCGTTAGAAGCGTAAAAAAAAAAACACACGAATTAAATTAATTCTGATGTGATTTGTTTTTTTATTAGTTAATGTATGACGAGTTATGGAAACTTACAAATTAATACTGATACATATACTTTTCTATAATTAGTTTATAACAAATCACGGGCCAAATAAACCAGTTATTGCATATTACTTAAATTTAAACTTTGTTGTGACAAATATTATAGAGTTTGAACCATTGGAATAAAAAAATATATAAAAAGATTTGAAAAGCGGTAATAAAAATGCACCATTGAAAAGGTGAAATAAAGAAAAAGAAATTTAAAAAAAAAAACATTATATTTTTAGGGGGAAATTAGAAAACAAAGATAACTTTCAACTTTTCCGATGGCAAAAATGTGAGAGCCACCTTCCAGTTCTCTCTCTCTCTCTCTCTCTCTCTCTCTCTCTCTCTATGTGTCTCTGTCTCTCTCGGGTTCACTGAACAAAAAACCCAAAATCCCAAAAGAAAATTGAAAATGCATGTCATCAAAACCCTAAATCTCTTGGTACTCCTCCTTCTCCTCTGCATTTTCCGGCGATCCGTCGCCGTTGGCGGCGGTGGCGGAGGGGGAGGAAACACCAATGGCGTCTACTCTCCTTGCTCCGACGCGAGGATCCAGAGATCCGACGGGTTCAGCTTCGGGATAGCATTCTCATCGCGTCAGTCGTTCTTCTTGAACGAGACGGTTCTTCTCTCTCCCTGCGACCGCCGTCTCGGCCTCTCCGCCATGAACGCTCAGTTCGCTCTCTTCCGACCTAAGGTCGACGAGATCTCCCTCCTCTCCGTCAACACCTCCGATTTCTTCCCGGTAAATGCCTCTCTGTTCCCGCTCAATTATCTTCGTGTGAGGGCAAATCCCTGAAATTCTGGCTTAGTCAAATCTGGTCATTATCGTAATCCAGTCATAGTTTATTACTAATCTCAGCAGATTAATTAAGGTGTTTATTATATTTTAGTAATATGGTCGTGCAGTTCAACGACAAAGTTTGATTAGTGAGATATAAGGGTGGATTTGGTTTGACTGATTAAGCTACATTTCATCGTGTTGAACTAATTGAATTCTTAAACGCTAATTAATCACGCTTCTTGTATATTAACCAAGAACGTCAACGCATCATGTTAAATTGATTCGATTTTTATTTATTTATTGTTCTTTTTTACATTAAGGGGATCATTACCTTGATGATCTGTTAAATGGGTCGTGATCAGTAGCCATATATATGCGTTAATAAGCTCCATTTCTTGATCTTAAACTACAATTGTGAACAGAATAGCTCATCCATGTAATGTGTATGCATGAGAAATCGAACCTGAAAGTGAAAAGTTCTGGGCTTTAGAAATGGCTCGATTTCTTCATTCAGATTGTTATTGAGGGGCCAATTTTGGTCATGAGATGGGGCTTCGGTCGATGGTCTTTCAAACCTGTTTAATACCCTTGTGTTCATTATCGAATCGTTGTCATCAGTAGCAGAACCCTAAGAACTAAGATGATCTTTCGCCATATAATTCGTGTGTTTGGGTTCTTCAGGACAACTATGGCGGATATATGGTAGCATTTGCTGGTCGGAAATATGCTGCCAGGTCTCCTCCAGCTTTTGTCGCTAACAGCACTTATATAGTCACCAGTTTTACATTGGTAAGCCCACAAAGAGCAAAGACTATAAAGAACCTTCGCCTAACCGGGTTTTTTGTGAATCGCAAATGTATTAACGACGGGCAAATCCTGATTCCCGACCTTTCAGGTGTTCGAGTTCCAGAAGGGCAGGCTCAATAACCTGTACTGGAAAAGAGACGGGTGTTCATCGTGCAAAGGCAACCCTAGTTTCGTCTGCCTGAACAACCAGGACTGTGCCATCAGAACCCCGAGCTGCAAGGGCCGTGGAGGTCCCGTGGACTGCAGCCTCGGGATACAGCTAGCATTCTCGGGCACTGACAAGCATTTATCAGTTCTCAACTCGTGGTATGAAGTCGAGAATCTTAGGCAGTATTCTCTGTACGGTCTGTACTCAAACCTCAAGAACTCCCTCACTAGTCAGTTCAACAACTTCTTCTAAAAACTTTTAGGGTCTCCTTAGAAAAAGCCTGTGATTCCAGTTCGTTTTCGCTTTAGTAAAGTTTAGATTTAGCTCTAGTTCATGTTACTTTCGATCTAGTTTTGGATTCTGCAATGGCCGGTTTTCAAAGGCACTACTACCAAGATTCGGTTACGTAATCACAGTCTCTGGTTTTGATAGATTCAGTTTAAATTTGGTCCAAATTTTGAAACCAAACCGGGTGGTTATGTATATGACTGAGCCACCACTACAATGATCCATAACCACATTTCGAGGTGATCTCATCGGCTAACAATCTTATCTACTCAAAAGTGAAATGTTAATCTCCACTAAGCCCTTAAAGAACAAAAACAAAACATTTCTTCTCCATTTCATCAATCAAAATACTAACCATTTTTCACTATAATACGCTGAACTGCTGAAGTACATCTTCTCCTAGATTGTAGTATTCAACTTTCTATACATACATATAATATATATACACACACACACTCATAGAGAGAGAGATTTCATATGAACCAAGCATCCAAGTGATAATGGACCAAGAGAGTGGGCATTTCATGAACAGTGTTTATATATACGAAACCAACATAAGACAAAGAGTTAGTATATTCTACTCTAAGACCGTCGACAACTGATCAGAGTTTAAAGGACAAGGCTTTAAGATCACAGTATATCAGTAAACAATATACGCCGATAACAAACTATTCGCCTAAATGCCCGTTTTTCGTGTCATGTATGTGTTTTTTCTTGAAAAGGCCATAACATCATAACAGATGCTTGGTAGGAACAATGATCGGTCAAATATCAAAGAGAAAATCGGAGGATCAACCTTTCTTCACCGGCCTTTGCACGTATGATTTGTTGGGATCCTCTGTCTTCAGTTTCGGGGGACGGGTTTCTCCTTTTTTAGCCTGCAGAATTTATGCAAACATTCCCCGTGAGCCGACCTTCTTCGGGAATATGATAATTTTTGACAAGTCTTACCTTCTTTCCCGCTTTCATGAAGTCTCTCCAGCTTGATACCTGTGGAATAGAATCCGATAAATTAGTTAGAGCATCACACTAAAGATGAAAGCACCCATTGTTGTAGATCTTCTATACGGTAATTGTCTAATGTCGGGTTTAATAACATTAACATAACAAACCCTTTTCTCTCTTGTCCCTTCCCACTGCTCCTCGTGTTCACGCTTTTTCTTCCACATCTCTTTTTGTTCCTCTTCATCCTTCTTGAGTCTTCCCTCTTCCTCAGATATCTAAATTTCAACAAGCAATATGACAAAAAATGGTGAAAGAAGAAGGAAGATACTCATGAAGAAAACCACAGAAAGAAGACTAGAGACACTGGCATTACCCTCATTGCCATTTTTCTCCTACGCCATTCTTGATCTGTCAAAATTTCCCGGACCTTCAGTTTAAGCTCATGTAGAAACTCTTCAGACTTCTCATATTGTTGCTCAGGTTTTCCCTGTGTGCATCAGTAACATATGAATCAAGGCGCTCACTAATGGACAGAATGAAGACAAAGAGAGTGATCATTCAAAAGAAATTGCCTTCAGTTAACATGAACTTTTTGAAGATCGAGCTATGAATTCTACAACCAGGCTTTTACTGGAAAAACATATTTCTTGAACAAATAACAAGCACTTGAAGTTTCGCCATAAATCTATCAGAAATTCAAGATTTGATCATGCAAAAATCACACCAATCAACCAGCATAGACAACTAACCGTTAAAAAAGGCCGATTGAAACTTAAACCACGTTCTATTGGACCCAACATAAAAATGGATCTTACAACAGCTTACTTCATAATTTGCCGATAGAAATGGATAAATTATACTATATTGACTAAAGTAGCAACAGGAGCTGTTTCATTCCAAAATATATTAACACACAGACAGAAATCAAATTTGGCAAAAGCAAGTCAATAAAGAGAGTCCAATGTGTACTCATATCACACCGGCAATAGCCAGCCATCATCCTGATTCCAAATGGAAGAAGAAACTATAAATTACCTCATCAACCATGGATTTTATTTTAGAAGCAGTATCTTTCTTCAAATGCTTCTTTCTCTTCATTCTAAGCTCCTCTGCATTTCACAGTCAGATAAAAATAACTTGCTCAGAGCAAGAATACGGAAGGTAAAGAAACGACTGTGATACAATTCAGACAGGTAATACAAAGAGCCTGCAGCAACACTATAAAATCATTACCTTTTGCAGCATTGACTTGAGTGAGAATATAATCTCTTTCTTGGTCATTCAGTAGCAGCTGCTGTGCTTTTGCCAGTGCTGCTCAAAAAGTCAAGAACAATAAACATGAGCATTTCATCCAGACAAGTCAACTGACAAGAATCACTTATCATTTTATGCCTTAACACAACAATCAGTTGGCTTGGCTGATTCACATATTGATGAGATATCTAAGATGGGGGGAAAAGGAGAGCTTAAGAACATTAACCTCCAAAGGCCTCCTTAGCTTGTGGATGCTTGCATTTATCAGGGTGAACCATCAAAGATAACTGCAAAATTTCAGGATCAGACCAGACACAAATGAGATCCCAATCCAGACAGTGAATTTTTCCCAGACAAGTTTGATGGACAGTTATATTTACATCTGATTCATCTTAATTCTTTTATTACCAGCTAAATGTAATAAACTACGATCGGGAAAATATGTCTTCACGGTGAATTTGGAAGAAACGAGCTTACCTTTCTGTACTGCTTTTTAACATCATCCACAGAAGAACCGAAAGGTAGATTTAGGTGCTCAAAGGGATTCAGCTTGAAGCATGAGAGAATTCTAAACAGTTTAAAATTTTAGGGTTAGATGGAAAAATATTGCAGCAAAAGGGAACCGTTTTGTTCATCACAACGACACAAGTATACAGGAAACGGCAATAACAACTAGAACGAAATGATCATCAATCATCACATAGTAAATATCTATACAAATACCCAATACTATTTACGTGTACATAGTGAAAGATCTCATCTTTATGCAATTCCTTCTCACAGTTCCCTAAGAAATCAACATCTAGCAAAACCCACCTCAAACGTTTCGCAAAATCAACTCCGTCGAGGATTATGGCATGAATCCTAGAACATGAAAACCCTATTCTCCTACCAAACACACACGATTACTCGCGATTCGACAACCTGAGAGCAAGAGATGCAGAAACAGAGGGAATAGAACTACGATTAGGGCACAAGACTAGGGTTTTCCCTCGAGGTAAGATGGTGTGCGAACCTGGCGACTTCGTTGTCTCTCTCCACTTCGCCGACCTCAGCGAAGAAAGATTTCAGAATTGCATCCTCGTCTACGTTGCTCTCTCCCATGGCACCTTCTCTGAGCCCCTCTCTCTCTCTCGATCTCTCTCGACGATGACAAACGAAGAAGGAGAAGAACTGGTAATGGTACTGTCTTGTATGGATGATGAATTGGGTTCGAGGAGATCTGGGTTCATGAATCATGTCGGGTGACCCGACTCGGTCTGGTTTTTGGGTTCAAAAAAATGTACGGTTCAAGTTCGGGTTACAGTTTAATAAATTCGGTTTGCTCTAAACCGAAAGATTTGTTATGCTTCCGGTTCATGTCCGGTTTTTCTAATGTAATTATGAATTAATTTCCTATAATTAATGACTTTTTTTTTACTTGTAGCTTTTAAACTAGGAGTTTTCATAATAATTATTGAATATTTTACAAATGATAAATATATCATTTTAAATTTTTTCTTTATAATCGGGTTATTGCGAGAAATCATTCAAAACAATCCAAATTAGTGATTCAACCTAAAACTTAGATACCATAAATTTCTCCCCTTTGAGGTTATATATTTTGAGTATAAAGAAAGATTACAGTATTCAATTTCAGGTTTCCAAAAAAATCTAAGGCAGTTGGATTCGGTTTATTGAAATAGTAAAACAAAATTGTGTTCATTCATATTGTCATATACATATTTAATAAAACTAATATTTTAGATACAAGAATAGAAAAACAAATTATAGGAATGATACAACAGCTTATGATTTTATATGAAAGGCTTCACAAGAGATCAAGTTCGGATTGAGACTTGTACACTTTGTGTTTCTATGTTCATTCATAAAATTCTCACTTATAGTGTATTGATATAATTGTATATTTGGATTGAAACGTAAATCAAACCGATGATAGAAATTTAGATTATTTATAGAATTATATACGTATCATACTTTGGATTTCAGTATCATAAATCTTCGATATTTATCTCATAGTTCAAATCCCTTTTTATCAAATGATAACATTCATTTTATAATATTTAAACAACATAGAGCAATAAAATTTTGTACAAACACAACACTCGTATAATTATTCCATACTTCAACGAGGTTTAAAAATAGGTTACTCTCCCTATTTTCCTCTATCACTCTCTCACGGCCTCCCTAGTGAAGAAAGGCCAATGAAAAACACAAAGGAGAGGAAAACGGAGAGAGAGAAAAGCAATTAACAACAATTATTCTTGGGGATGATATAGTATATATGTATGTGTGTATATATACATATATATCATATGCTTATGTCTTTGGATGAGTCTTTCTGTGAAGGTCTCATGAAGTGGCAATGCAAAAGGGCTCAAAGAATAGAAGAGACCTCCTTTGTTCCTTGCAACCGTTTAGTAAACCATCTTTTCCTTTGACTGAATCTTGGGCTTGAAATTGGCCCATTAAGGTTGGGTTCATGGGCTTAATGGGCCTCCAGTAGTAATCGTATGTGTTGAAGCAAGCGGCTCCTACGGTGTCGTCCACCGTGGATGGTGGTTGTGCCGCCCGAGCGAGCTTAGCCACCTTCGGCCTCGGTGGCAATGATTGAGCCACGGGAGCCAGGACATCGGATTTTCCGGAGGGTTCGTCTTTACAGGGCCATCTAGGGTTTCTGATTGGTATCCCAATGGGCTTATGGGCCAACCTGTGAACATTCGCAAGCCCATTAGGGTTTTGGGTGAAGTTGTAAACACCCGCAAGCCCATTTCTTGGCTCTTCCTCTTCGTTAAACCAGAGAGTCTCTTCTTCTTCATCTTCTTCTCTTTCGTTTGAATCGTTCGTTTCGTCTTTTGGGTCTGTGAACGTTAGGACAAGGCGGCCGTCTTGTCGCTTGGCGCAGAAATTGTTCTGCGAAGCCATTGAAACAGCCTCGAGAACCAACCTACCGTTGTCTCGGCGAGTTTTCATGTGCAGAGACTTACCAGATTGGCTCGAAAGCGATGGAATCGGCGGAGGAAACGATCCCCCACCTAAGGATTTCTTTACGATCGTCGAGTTGAGGTTATGATTCGGAACCCATGTCTCTTGTTCAGCTTCCGATTGATCTTCTTCCTTCTGTTCTTCCGCATCTCGTTTCCCCGGCGACGGAAACCTCGAGAATACGTCGGAACCCGTCTCTGATCCGAGACTCTCAGTGCAAATCTCGAGGCTTTTCTCGTTCAGAGAGCTTGAAGCTCGCTTCACGATAGGATGAACGTACGGTGGAGGAACCATCTTGATAGGCTCTGATTTCTGAGACAGAATCGAACTCCATACACCGGATTGTCCCGGCCTTTCATCGTCGATCTTATTGTTCTTCTTCTCGTTCTGAATCTGAGCCCAGATGTCGAACCCAGATATCAGTTCTTCTCCTCCTCCTTCTTCGTCGGCGACAGAGGCGTGGAGCTCTTCC